TCTAGGGCTCTCGTTTTTTTTTTTTTTTTAAATCTTCTGCAGGTTCCAACAAAGCAAATAACTTATTATGGAGTCCCAATTACTGCTTCAAGCTAATGTGAAATTCTTGGCAAAGGAAACAATCACGATGTACATTTTGAGGGGGAGTTCTTCCTAATCTCTTATGAACAAATTCAAGTTGTGTATTTATTGGGTATTTTCGGTTATATTGGACTTCTTGGGTATATATGGATTTTCTTACTAGACTCTATCAGTTTTTGGATTATCTCGTTGGGTTGTCGTTTTATTTGGCTTATCATAATCTCTGGGGTCTCCTTTTATAATTATCACCTTATTTGGATTCTTCTTGGATTATCTACTTGATGAGATTATTTCTGAAAAATATTTTGGATGGGATTGCTTTTCTTGGTGTATGATATCTGATACTGAGGATGCTGATGACGGCTCAGTTTCGGGCACCCCGTCTGCACGGTATATCTAATCCACTATTATGATGTTCACCTTCCTTTGTCATTTATTTGGAAAAAAGGGGGAGTTTTGGAGTAAGGGGGAGTATTACGGAGTATTATGGTAACTTTTGGAGATTTTGGAATCTTTTGGATTATTATGGTATCTTTTGGACGTATTGGATCATTATGGAATTTTTGGTAAGGACTATGATGAAATATTTGGTAGTTTGGCAGTGGTTACATTTGTTTGGTTGTTTTTTGGATTTCATTATGGAAATAATAGAATTATATGTGTTAGGGGGAGTAGTAGTTTTGTTTGGTGCATCTAAACAAGTTGAATGGATGTTTCGGGTTATGCTACTCTCACATGAAAAAGTTATTATATGATGTGGTATGCTAGGAATTCAATGCTTCTGTGTGTGATCCAAGACTTGAAGAATTCCAATCAGGTACTTTATTCACAAATGGTCCAAAAAGAACTTAATTTGTTATTTTTGGTTTTATATCTTTGTGTCTTGTTCAGTACCTATACTAAGGGCAAAAAAATAAATTGATTATACTTTCAATTTTGCCCAAAGTCTTTGATACTTGAGTTTTACCAAATAAAATGCCAAAGGGGGAGATTGTAAGTGTAAAATAATTTACACATTAAGTTATTGGCTATTTTATTTAGTAAATAGTTTTATTGTTTTTAATAAATTAGAGTTGTTAAAGTTAATTATATTTTTGGACCATGTGATATAAATATATGAATGTTGTGCCTTGGAGTATGAAGTCAGCGTGTGAAGATGTCAAAGAAATAAAATGTGAGGCAGTGGTTTATTCTAACAAGGAAAGGTAGTGGTTTATTCTAACAAGAATAAGTGGTGGTGATTCATTTGAACAAGTGGTGGCTAACGAAAAAGCTATTGCTAAGGATCCTAACTAATGGTTCAAGAAGTGCTATAAATTCACACGGTTCGAAGGAAGCATTTGCCCAACTTTGAGAATTATACACTGCTAGAGCTCTCTTGATTTTACAAAGCAATTTATATTTTGAATGTAATTTCTGATTTAATTTGTAAGAATATTTATATTGTACTGCATGATCAGTACGTGGTACTGCTGAAGCATCTTGTGAAGATTGTTCGGGTATTTGTGTGTCAATCCTGGATAGGTGTTAGAAAGAGTGGTAGTGGTAAAGGCTGGAGGCCATCTGTATTTTACCTCTTGTAATACTCCTTTTGGTGAACATCTATAGTGGATTGGGCAGACGTGGGTTGCCCCGCAGACGTAGGAGAAGGAGCTCCGAACTGCGTAACATTTCTTTGTGTTTTTTACATTCTTTATGCTTTTAGCTTTCATTATTTACATTTGCTTAAACAAGTTTAATTAATGAACGTAACTACTACATAACCTAATTAACAAGTAAAAACACATAGCTTTTATATTTCGAGTGTCACGGTGCAATTTCACCTACAATTAAAAATAACATTCCCTATTTACAAACGGTAACATTCTGATTAGATTTGTAATAAGAAAGTAGAAAATGTAGCTTGTCTTGCTAGTGTAGTTGGTTATCATGCTAGTTCCACACACTAGAGGTACCTAGTTCAAACTTGGGCTTAGACATGTTAATTTAGTTTTAAGCTCTTCTTTTTTTACTAGGAAATTAGTGTTTGGTTGACAACTTTTTAAAACACAATTACGGAATTAATTACTTCTCGAATTAAAAATCTCATTGCATAATTAAAAATCGTATCATTCTACTTTGATTAGTAAAAAGAAAATAAAAAATGTAGTTGTCTAGGTGGTGTAGTTGGTTATCACGCAAATCTAACACATTAGTGGTCCCTAGTGCAAACCTGGGCTCAAAAATTTTATTTTGCTTTCCACCTGCGTTTTTAGCAGGAGATGTTTTGAAATTATATTGGTAATTATTTTCCTTCCTTAATTATATTTTGAGAGATTTTAGTGTATGTTTCGTACATGAGTTCACACATTAGAAATGAGAAGAAAAATCATAGTTAGTGTTTGGTTGACAACTTTATTAAACACAAGTATGGATTTGATGAACCCTACAATTAAAAATAACATTCCCTATTTGTAAACGGTAATATTCTGATTAGATTTGTAATAATAAAGTAGAAAATGTAGCTTGTTTGGGTGGTGTAGTTGGTTATCACACTTATCTCACACAGTAGATGGCCCCAAGTCAAACCTAGGCTTAGACATGTTTATTTACTTCTAAGCTCTTCTTTTTTTTTTTTACTAGGAAATTAGTGTTAGGTTGACAAATTTTTAAAACATAACTATGAATTTAATTACTTCTCGAATTACAAATCTCATTTCATAATTAAAAATCGTATCAATCTAATCTAATTAGTAAAATGAAAAAAGAAAATGTAGTTGTCTGGGTGGTGTAGTTGGTTATCACGAAAATCTAACACTTTAGTGGTCCCGGTCCCCTTTGCAAACCTAGGCTCAAACATGTTATTTTGCTTTGCAGCTGCGTTTTTACCCGGAGATCTTTTGAAATTATAATGGTCAGTATTTTCCTTTTTAATTATACTTTGATAGATTTTAGTGTATGTTTCGTACATGAGTTTACACATTAGAAATGAGAATAAAAATCATAGTTAGTGTTTGGTTGACAACATTATAAAACACAAGTATGGATTTGATGACCCCTACAATTAAAAATAACATTTCCTATATATTAACGGAAACATTCTGATTAGATTTGTAATAAGAAAGTAGAAAATGTAGCTTTTCTTGGTGGTGTAGTTGGTTATCATGCTAGTTTCACACACTAGAGGTTCCCAGTTCAAACTTGGGCTTAGACATGTTAATTTATTTTTAAGCTCTTCTTTTTTTACTAGGAAATTAGTGTTTGGTTGACAACTTTTTAAAACACAACTATGGAATTAATTACTTCTCGAATTAAAAATCTCATTCCATAATTAAAAATCGTATCATTCTACTTTAATTAGTAAAAAGAAAATAAAAAATGTAGTTGACTGGGTGGTGTAGTTGGTTATCACGCAAATCTAACACATTAGTGGTCTCTAGTGCAAACCTGGGCTCAAACATGTTATTTTGCTTTCCACCTGCGTTTTTACCAGGAGATGTTTTGAAATTATATTGGTAATTATATTTTGAGAGATTTTAGTGTATGTTTCGTACATGAGTTCACACATTAGAAATGAGAAGAAAAATCATAACTAGTGTTTGGTTGACAACTTTATTAAACACAAGTATGGATTTGATGAACCCTACAATTAAAAATAAAATTCCCTATTTATAAACGGTAATATTCTGATTAGATTTGTAATAATAAAGTTGAAAATGTAGCTTGTTTGGGAGGTGTAGTTGGTTATCACACTTATCTCACACAATAGAGGTCCCCATGTCAAACCTGGGCTTAGACATGTTTATTTACTTCTAAGCTCTTCTTTTTTTTTTTTTACTAGGAAATTAGTGTTAGGTTGACAACTTTTTAAAACATAACTATGAATTTAATTACTTCTCGAATTAAAAAACTCATTTCATAATTAAAAATCGTATCAATCTAATCTAATTAGTAAAATGAAAAAAGAAAATGTAGTTGTCTGGGTGGTGTAGTTGGTTATCACGAAAATCTAACACTTTAGTGGTCCCGGTCCCCTGTGCAAACCTAGGCTCAAACATGTTATTTTGTTTTGCAGCTGCGTTTTTACCCGGAGATCTTTTTAAATTATAATGGTCAGTATTTTCCTTTTTAATTATATTTTGATAGATTTTAGTGTATGTTTCGTACACGAGTTGACACATTAGAAATGAGAATAAATATCATAGTTAGTGTTTGGTTGACAACTTTATAAAACACAAGTAAGGATTTGATTACCCCTACAATTAAAAATCACATTCCCTAATTATATAAAGTAATATTCCGATTAGATTTGTAGTAAGAAAGTAGAAAATGTAGCTTGTCTTGGGAGTGTAGTTAGTTATCATGATAGTCTCACACTCTAGAGGTCCCCAGTTCAAACCTGGGCTTAGACATGTTAATTTACTTTTAAGCTCTTCTTTTTTTACTAGGAAATTAGTGTTTGGTTGACAACTTTTTAAAACACAAGTATGGATTTAATTGCTTCTCGAATTAAAAATCTCATTCCATAATTAAAAATCGTATCATTCTACATTAATTAGTAAAAAGAAAATAAAAAATGTAGTTGACTGGGTGGTGTAGTTGGTTATCACGCAAATCTAACACATTAGTGGTCTCTAGTGCAAACCTGGGCTCAAACATGTTATTTTGCTTTCCACCAGCGTTTTTACCAGGAGATGTTTTGAAATTATATTGGTAAGTATTTGCCTTTCTTAATTATACTTTGTTAGATTTTAGTGTATGCTTCGTACATGAGTTTACACATTAGAAATGAGAATAAAAATCATAGTTAGTGTTTGGTTGACAACTTTATAAAACACAAGTATGGATTTGATGACCCCTACAATTAAAAATAACATTCCTTATTTATAAACGGTAACATTTTGATTAGATTTGTAATAAGAAAGTAGAAAATGTAGCTTGTCTTGGTGGTGTAGTTGGTTATCATGCTAGTTCCACACACTAGAGGTTCCTAGTTCAAACTTGGGCTTAGACATGTTAATTTAGTTTTAAGCTCTTCTTTTTTTACTCGGAAATTAGTGTTTGGTTGACAACTTTTTAAAACAGAATTACGGAATTAATTACTTCTTGAATTAAAAATCTCATTGCATAATTAAAAATCGTATCATTCTTCTTTAATTAGTAAAAAGAAAATAAAAAATGTAGTTGTCTGGGTGGTGTAGTTGGTTATCACGCAAATCTAACACATTAGTGGTCCCTTGTGCAAACCTGGGCTCAAAAATTTTATTTTGCTTTCCACCTGCGTTTTTACCAGGAGATGTTTTGAAATTATATTGGTAATTATTTTCCTTCCTTAATTATATTTTGAGAGATTTTAGTGTATGTTTCGTACATGAGTTCACACATTAGAAATGAGAAGAAAAATCATAGTTAGTGTTTGGTTGACAACTTTATTAAACACAAGTATGGATTTGATGAACCCTACAATTGAAAATAACATTCCCTATTTATAAACGGTAATATTATGATTAGATTTGTAATAATAAAGTAGAAAATGTAGCTTGTCTGGGTGGTGTAGTTGGTTATCACACTTATCTCACACAGTTGAGGTCCCCAAGTCAAACCTGGGCTTAGACATGTTTATTTACTTCTAAGCTCTTCTTTTTTTTTACTAGGAAATTAGTGTTAGGTTGACAACTTTTTAAAACATAACTATGAATTTAATTACTTCTCGAATTAAAATCTCATTTCATAATTAAAAATCGTATCAATCTAATCTAATTAGTAAAATGAAAAAAGAAAATGTAGTTGTCTGGGTGGTGTAGTTGGTTATCACGAAAATCTAACACTTCAGTGGTCCCGGTCCCCTGTGCAAACCTAGGCTCAAACATGTTATTTTGCTTTGCAGCTGCGTTTTTACCCGGAGATCTTTTTAAATTATAATGGCCAGTATTTTCCTTTTTAATGATATTTTGATAGATTTTAGAGTATGTTTCGTACATGAGTTGACACATTAGAAATGAGAATAAAAATCATAGTTAGTGTTTGGTTGACAACTTTATAAAACACAAGTGTGGATTTGATTACCCCTACAATGAAAAATCACATTCCCTAATTATAAACAATAATATTCCGATAAGATTTGTAGTAAGAAAGTTGAAAATGTAGCTTGTCTTGGTAGTGAAGTTGGTTATCATGATAGTCTCACACTCTAGAGGTCCCCAATTCAAACCTGGGCTTAGACGTGTTAATTTACTTTTAAGCTCTTCTTTTTTTACTAGGAAATTAGTGTTTGGTTGACAAGTTTTTAAAACACAAGTATGGATTTAATTGCTTCTCGAATTAAAAATCTCATTCCATAATTAAAAATCGTATCATTCTACTTGAATTAGTAAAAAGAAAATAAAAAATGTAGTTGAATGGGTGGTGTAGTTGGTTATCACGCAAATCTAACACATTAGTGGTCTCTAGTGCAAACCTGGGCTCAAACATGTTATTTTGCTTTCCACCTGCGTTTTTACCAGGAGATGTTTTGAAATTATATTGGTAAGTATTTGCCTTTCTTAATTATACTTTGTTAGATTTTAGTGTATGTTTCGTACATGAGTTTACACATTAGAAATGAGAATAAAAATCATAGTTAGTGTTTGGTTGACAACTTTATAAAACACAAGTATGGATTTGATGACCCCTACAATTAAAAATAACATTCCCTATTTATAAACGGTAACATTCTGATTAGATTTGTAATAAGAAAGTAGAAAATGTAGCTTGTCTGGTGTAGTTGGTTATCATGCTAGTTCCACACACTAGAGGTTCCTAGTTCAAACTTGGGCTTAGACATGTTAATTTAGTTTTAAGCTCTTCTTTTTTTACTAGGAAATTAGTGTTTGGTTGACAACTTTTTAAAACACAATTACGGAATTAATTACTTCTCGAATTAAAAATCTCATTGCATAATTAAAAATCGTATCATTCTACTTTGATTAGTAAAAAGAAAATAAAAAATGTAGTTGTCTGGGTGGTGTAGTTGGTTATCACGCAAATCTAACACATTCGTGGTCCCTAGTGCAAACCTGGGCTCAAAAATTTTATTTTGCTTTCCACCTGCGTTTTTACCAGGAGATGTTTTGAAATTATATTGGTAATTATTTTCCTTTCTTAATTATATTTTGAGAGATTTTAGTGTATGTTTCGTATATGAGTTCACACATTAGAATTGAGAAGAAAAATCATAGTTAGTGTTTGGTTGACAACTTTATTAAACACAAGTATGGATTTGATGAACCCTACAATTAAAAATAACATTCCCTATTTATAAACGGTAATATTCCGATTAGATTTGTAATAAGAAAGTAGAAAATGTAGCTTGTCTGTGTGGTGTAGTTGGTTATCACAGTAATCTCACACACTATAGGTCCCCAGTTCAAACTTGGGTTTATACGTGTTATAATTAACTTCTAGGCTCTTCTTTTTTTTACTATGAAATTAGTGTTTGGTTGACAACTTTTTAAAAAATAACTATGGATTTAATTACTTCTCGAATTAAAAATCTCATTCCATAATTAAAAATCGTATCATTCTAATTTAATTAGTAAAATGAAAATAGAAAATGTAGTTGTCTGGGTGGTGTATTTGGTTATCACGCAAATCTAACACATTAGTAGTCCCTAGTGCAAACCTGGGCTCAACCATGTTATTTTTCTTTGCAGCTGCGTTTTTACCTGGAGATCTTTTCAAATTATAATGGTAAGAATTTTCCTTTTTAATTATAATTTGGTAGATATTAGTGTATGTTTCGTACATGAGTTGACACAATAGAAATGAGAATAAAAATCATAGTTAGTGTTTGGTTGACAACTTTATAAAACACAAGTATGGATTTGATTACCCCTACAATTAAAAATCACATTCCCTAATTATAAACGGTAACATTCCGATTAGATTTGTAATAAGAAAGTAGAAAATGTGGCTTGTGTGGGTGGTGTAGTTGTTTATCATGCTAGTTACATACACTAGAGGTCCCCAGTTAAAACCTGGGCTTAGACATGTTAATTTACTTTTAAGCTCTTCTTTTTTTACAAGGAAATTAGTGTTTGGTTGACAGCGTTTTAAATCACATCTATGGATTTAATTACTTCTCGAATTAAAAATCTCATTCCATAATTAAAAATCGCATCATTCTAATTCAATTAGTAAAACGAAAATAAAAAATGTAGTTGTCTGGGTAGTGTAGTTGGTTATCACGCAAATCTAACACATTAGTGGTCCCTAGTGCAAACCTGGGTTCAAACATGTTATTTTGCTTTCCACCTGCGTTTTTACACGGAGATGTTTTGAAATTATATTGATTGGTATTTTCCTTTCTTAATTATATTTTGATAGATTTTAGTGTATGTTTCGTACATGAGTTTACACATTAGAAATGAGAAGAAAAATCATAGTTAGTGTTTGGTTGACAACTTTACAAAACACAAGTATGGATTTGATGACCCCTACAATTAAAAATAACATTCCCTATTTAGAAATGGTAATATTCCGATTAGATTTGTAATAAGAAAGTAGAAAATGTAGCTTGTCTGTGTGGTGTAGTTGGTTATCACAGTAATCTCACACACTATAGGTCCCCTGTTCAAACCTGGGTTTATTATACATGTTATAATTAACTTCTAGGCTCTTCTTTTTTTTTTTTACTATGAAATTAGCGTTTGGTTGACAACTTTTTAAAACATAACTATGGATTTAATTACTTCTCGAATTAAAAATCTCATTCCATAATTAAAAATCGTATCATTCTAATTTAATTAGTAAAATGAAAATAGAAAATGTAGTTGTCTGGGTGGTGTATTTGGTTATCACGCAAATCTAACACATTAGTAGTCCCTAGTGCTAACCTGTGCTCAAACGTGTTATTTTTCTTTGTAGCTGCGTTTTTACCTGGAGATCTTTTCAAATTATAATGGTAAGAATTTTCCTTTTTAATTATATTTTGATAGATATTAGTGTATGTTTCGTACATGAGTTGACACATTAGAAATCAAAATAAAAATCATAGTTAGTGTTTGGTTGACAACTTTATAAAACACAAGTATGGATTTGATTACCCCTACAATTAAAAATCACATTCCCTAATTATAAACGATAACATTCCGATTAGATTTGTAATAAGAAAGTAGAAAATGTAGCTTGTGTGGGTGGTGTAGTTGGTTATCATGCAAGTCACACACACTTGAGGTCCCCTGTTAAAACCTGGGCTTAGACATGTTAATTTACTTTTAAGCTCTTCTTTTTTTACAAGGAAATTAGTGTTTGGTTGACAGCGTTTTAAATCACATCTATGGATTTAATTACTTCTCGAATTAAAAATCTCATTCCATAATTAAAAATCGCATCATTCTAATTCAATTAGTAAAACGAAAATAAAAAATGTAGTTGTCTGGGTGGTGTAGTTGGTTATCACGCAAATCTAACACATTAGTGGTCCCTAGTGCAAACCTGGGTTAAAACATGTTATTTTGCTTTCCACCTGCGTTTTTACAAGGAGATGTTTTGAAATTATATTGGTAGGTATTTTCGTTTCTTAATTATATTTTGATATATTTTAGTGTATGTTTCGTAAATGAGTTTACACATTAGAAATGAGAATAAAAATCATAGTTAGTGTTTGGTTGACAACTTTACAAAACACAAGTATGGATTTGATGACCCCTACAATTAAAAATAACATTCCCTATTTAGAAACGGTAACATTCCGATTAGATTTGTAATAAGAAAGTAGAAAATGTAGCTTATTTGTGTGGTGTAGTTGGTTATCACAGTAATCTCACACACTATAGGTCCCCAGTTCAAACCTGGGTTTATACGTGTTATAATTAACTTCTAGGCTCTTCTTTTTTTTTACTATGAAATTAGTGTTTGGTTGACAACTTTTTAAAACATAACTATGGATTTAATTATTTCTCGAATTAAAAATCTCATTCCATAATTAAAAATCGTATCATTCTAATTTAATTAGTAAAATGAAAATAGAAAATG